GGTTCTGGTTCGGTTCTGGTCTGGTTCTGGTTCGGTTCTGGTCTGGTTCTGGTTCGGTTCTGATCTGGTTCTGAATTAGAAGATGTAAACTGAACAAACCAAAGTCCATCATAGGGTCAGTATTAGCATCGATGTTGGGATTAGAAACGTGTTTTATTTCTTAAATCCTTATCAGGAAGTTAAAGATCGATCGTATATCTGGGAACCGTAAATCGCAATATATCGATTTTTATCCACTGATGGTCGGCGTGTGAATCTAGGAGAAGCTGATCTATCGGGGCCTCCAGCCTTCATCCACATCTAGATCAGAGTTTCTATAAACGTCGTTATGGAGAAGAACTGCTTCAGAAGTAAAGACAGATATTTGTCTTTAGAAGAAAAAACTTCCTCTCAATAAACTCTGAAATAAAGTACAGATAGTTAAAGAAGCTACTGAAGTAACAAAGTATTTATACTTTAGAAACTTTATACCAAATACTTTTAAACAGGACTCAAATCTTGAACATCTACTTTTACTTTTAGTTGAGTCAATTTTTGAAGTTTTCAACCCAGAACTGCAGTACAGTTCTGGGTCTGCTGCCCATCCAGCCTCCATCACTCAGAACCGGTCCCAACTGGTCCCATCCGGTCCCAACTGGTCCCATCCGGTCCCAACTGGTCCCATCCGGTCCCATCCAGTCCCTCTCTAACTGTTCAAACTGGACTCCATGTGGACCAGAGGGACCAGAATAATCCAGGTACAGTTCCTGGTTTCTAACGGATGGTTCCAGGACCAGCAGCCTGAGCTGCTCCCTCTGACCCCAGCAGGACCTGGACTTCCCTCGGTCCCTGACTGGACCCTAAGTCCTCTGCTGTGGGTCCGTCCAGCTGACAGCTGGAGCTCGGTCCAGACTGGATCAGGGCAGAACAGGGAAGCCAACCAGCAGCAGATCTATAGATCTGTTCTTCCAACAGATCAGGACGGGGGGCCGGTTCTGCTCTCAGCCAGAGAGGAGAATAGATCCGCCATCAGATTAATTTCAGCGTTCCGCCGCTAACAGACGCCATCTGGGCCAAATATTGATCCATAAATGCTTCCTTCATAATCAGGTCAATCTTTGCTGGACGGGAAACATCGACGCCTTTCAGCTGCTGACAGGAATCGTTTGACCTGCTAACCCGCTGCCGCCATCGACCGCTCTAAACGCCAACGTTAAAACTGAGAGTCTGACAGAGAGGCGGGCCAAAGCCAGGCTGGGTTCTGCTTCTGGCTCCGCCCATCTCACACCAACGCCGCTCTCCATCACACCCTTCATTCCTTCCTCATCCATTAGCTGCTGAAAACCTGGAGCTCAGAGAGCAGAACCAGCCCAGAACCTGGAGCCAGAACCCGGGACCAACCCAGAACCCGGGACC